CGGAGATAGTTCTAATTATTTTAAATGTTAGTGAGAAGGGCAGCAGTTCCCCTCTGCAAAGAGTTCCATTGTGCAACATTAAATGTCTGCTAAGTGGTATTGATTGGATACGATTGTATTTCCCAACACCATGGTCATCACTAGGCAGAAGAACGTGCTGTTGAAGGAATTTTCATCAGTGCTTTACCAAGAGATGCTCTTACTTTTACCTGCAAACTAACGCTTTGGGGCATCTAGGAGGAGAGTGGTAACAATTGAAGAATACTATTTGCGTTTCTATTTTTGAGTCATTTCTTAGTGGGAGTTTAATAGCATTTAACACATAATGGAAGAATTTTTTTTCTCCTCAAGCTTGAATATCCTGTATTCTCACATCCCTGGGAGAGAATTATTGGTTCCAGTCTGTTGACTTCCAACAGATCATTCAAGTTAAAAGTCAGGGGTCTTTGCAATGTCAAAAGATTTAGCAGTTAGAGTGGTTTTTGTTTTGTTTCTTAGAGAATCGTGTGTGTGTGTGTGTGTGTGTGTGTGTGTGTGTGTGGCGGTGTATACTATTCACCCAAAAGAATACTGCTGGTTAGATAGCGTCACAAAATCATGTTAAGTTTTTCTTTTCTTGTTCAGCTAGGATTGGCAAGAGTGATTATGTGTGAGGGTTTTTGTTGTTGTTGTTAATTTTAAAATAATAATCTAAGAAAGGCTTTTAGCTGCTGCGGACAAATAGGCTACTTGAAACATACCCGGCTTGTTGGTTCAAGCAGGGGTCAGACTCAGAGGGTCACCCCACTTTCATTGTGGGAAGAAGAAAGATCTGATGGCTAAGTGTGCCTTTCTTTTCAGTCTCTACTTGGGTACCCACAAGTCATTTCTACCAATTCTGGGAGCCTATCAGTGATGGCAAAAACAAAAAAACTAAACCCACTGCTGACCACCTGATCCTGACTCATCAGTGATCACAGGGTAGTGTAATCCTGTGTTGTTTATTGCCTTGCCAGCCTGCTGGCCCCCAACCCCAATGCTGTTTCCCCCACCCCACCTTACCCCACCCCTAAGCAAGAGCACAGCACTAAAGTCTTCACAGAGGCAAATGATGGTATGGTGAGCATCTCTGGGCCAATTATTTTTTCTTTCTTTGGGTTATTCCCCAGGGTGGAATTACCAGGTCAGAGGGTACTAGCAGTTTTATGGTTCTTATTACATGTCACTAGATGGCTGTCCAGAAAGATTGAACCAATTCCCAGTGCTTCCAACATCGGATGTGTCTCCCCCCTCCCCTGTGACACTAAGCTTTAGTGTTTTTTTACGAAATTATGAAGTCAAAGCTTTTAAGTTGAAATTAGCCCTGTGCAGAGCCTATTAGAGTCGATTTAGAAAACACAAAAGGATAACTTAACTTTGACTTTTGAATTGATATAAAATGACTTAAAATTATCAGGTGTTACTGTGCACCCCCCCCCCAAAAAAAAAAAAAAGGTTCAATGAAGCTGCATTACTGTGGAGAAGGTTCCTTGAGAAACTGTATTTCATGACATCAGTCTTTCAGATAAATACTTCCTAAATCTTCAGTGCATTTGGAGCTTTGATGAGGTGCTAAACAAAATGAGTTCAACAGACACGTCTGCTATTCAAAGACAGTGCTAAGCCTTGAACAAACAGTAATAATAACATGGGTTTAAATTTTGAGTGGCAAAATGCTTGAAAAAATATAGGTATTCTTTAAAACCTGTTGAGTCCATGTCTTTATTTACCTCTTTGGAGTGCAGTCATGCATTAAGTATGCTCCTCGCCTCCCTAGTTCAGTCGGGGAGCACAAACACCCTATATGTTCTGTAGCCTCAAGTCCCAGGATAACTTTCCAAGAAAATACCCACAAAGCACAAGAAAGCCAGCAAAAGGCTATTCCCCAGGTCCTTCCTTGGGAAGGGTGAGGTAGTTCCTCTCTGCAAGAGAGTTCTATTGTGCAGCATTAAATGTCTGCTAAATGGGATTGATTGGACATGATTTTATTTCCAAATTCTGTGGTTGGTTAGGAGCCCTGGTGGCTTAGTGCCTAAGGCATTTGACTGCTAACCAAAAGGCTGGCAGTTCAAACCCTCCAGCCACTCCTTGGAAAGAAGATCGGGCAATCTACTATCATAGTGATACAGCCTTGGAAATCCAAGGAGGGGTCACTATGAGTCTAATCAACTCAATGGCAGTGAGTTTGGTTTTAGGTTTTATGGTTGGCTGCAGAAGAATTTGTTGTTGAAGGAATTTTCACCAGTGTTTCAGGATGAGACATTCTTACTTCTGCCTGCAAAAATCAAACCAAAGAGGCCAACACTCCCTCCTTTTTGGTTCCAAGTCCACTGAATGTTTAGACATCTTCAGCCCAGTGGGAAAAAACTCCCAGGACAGCTGCTAACTGAAGATAAAAGGCAGGCCCAGGTGCTGAACATGCTGGGACAACCGTTAGAAACCAGGTGCCTGTGGAGTCGACTCTGACTCATGGTCACCCTGTGTGTGTCAGCATAGGTTGTGCCCCATAGGGTTTTCAATGGCCGGCTTTTTGGAAGTAGATCCCCAGCCCTTTCTTCTGATGTGCCTTTGGGTAGACTTGAACCCCCAACCTTTGGATTAGCAGACAGGTGCATTAACCATTTGTACTACCCAAGCACTCCAAGAGAACACTTACCTATGCTTTTATAGACTGCATTAGTCTGACAACGGTCAGCTGCTTTGCCTTAGATTCAGAGATTAGGAGGGTCCAGTGGCCAGTTGTTCCTCAGTGTAGTGGCCAAGGGTAGGGTGAGGCAGTGTTAGCAATGACCAACAGTGAGCCAGGGTGACCAGTGCCAGGCCAGGCAGCTTCCATCCCCAGTGACATGGGGAGAATCATTCTCTCAATTAATGGTTTTAGGCTTAAGTTCCTCATTAAACCGTCTATATATAGTACTCAGTAAATTCTCACTGGCTTCCCCATAGCTTCCACACAGAAAAACATCTACCACTGGCTTGAGGGCCTGGGAGTAGAGTACATAGACTCTTGACTCTCCAGTAGGTGCTTGGTAGATGCCAGATCTATATAATAATGAGGTGTTAAAGCCAAGTCTACCAACCTTGGAAACATATGTTCACATAATTCATAGAACACCTTGGATTGGCAGGGTATTTTAAATCTGTGTAACAGTTCAAGTTGCATAAGAGGCCTTCATGAACTGCATAAACTGAAGGCTGCAGATTTTGTAGGTTTCCAGTTTTTTAGGTCAGGATTATACATGTGGTCATGTGTATGTATGGTTTTTAGCCCCTATAAAGTACTATTCAATAGCTATTTGCTTCTTGAAAAAGCTTATAAACTAATACCCTTGCTTTTATTTAAGTTACTAGAAACTAAACAAATAACATCAATATCAAAAAGGAATTGCTTGTCTGGAAATTGCCTCGTTTGTTTGTAGATTTATTCACCAAGTCTTCAAATCATTCCTTATTGGATCTTGAGGCAGCTATACAAAACTGCCCATCTATCTGTTGATGTTGAGGGAGGGGGCTTTCTGAAATAATTTGGTCCAGGGGAGTGCTTAAAGGTCCGCTTCTCACATCTCAGCTCTGTTCTTTTATTTCTGTGTGGCTCCACCAGCTGCGGCAAACCTTCTCTTCCAGTCCCGTAACAAGCGTAAATAGTGTTCCCTTGTAAAAAGGTCTCTTTTCAGCATGGTAATATACCTTATTAAATTCCAAACATAATAAGTATTGATGGCAAACACATCAGGACCCAGTACAGCTTCTACTATGCTTCAGTTCTCTACAAACGACGTCGGCACTCAGCTCCCAGTGCGGTTTACTAATTACATCATAGGTTTCCCTATTGATGAACACAGGCTGAATTAACACAGGAGCACTAATGTACCCTTTCACCATTATTGTTGTACAAGAAGCCCTGGCAGATGCTGGCAGTTAGTTACACAAACATTAGTATTAACGATTGGCCATTTGGAATTGGTGACAAACTACTGCGAGGCAGAATCTTGAGGCTGAAACCAATCAGGAAGTTAATGAGGAGAGAAATTACCAGTGGCGCTTCCCCTTAATTACATTCACGCCAGGCAGGAAGGGAGTTCTGGGGGTGGATCTCAGCTCGCCTAAGGTTAAGAAGGTCAGAGGCCCTTTTGCTTATATTTTGTATCTACTGTGGCTTGGAGGGTTGCAAAGATTTTTTTTTTTTTAACTTTTGCATCCTCAGTGAGTAGGTCTCTGGGTAGAGTTGAATGTTCTTAACGTTTGTTTTGGAAACCTTTATCTGACTTCTGTTTTTGTGTGCTATAACTCAGATTGATTTTACGGTTTGTATTTTAAAGAATTTCTTCTCTCATTTACTACTTTTTTTTTTCAACTATGTATGCGGTCCCCCTCCCCCCCATGAGTGTGTCCCTATTCCAGGAGAAATAGCAGTAGAATGAAGTGTACTGAAAGACTGGGTTTACCTGTCATAAGGTGGAAACACATGGGTGGAGACTTGCTTAGGGTAATTTGTCAGACGGATCATTTGACAGGACAAGAGCCATTAGCATCGTTTACATAAGGGGCGGGGGAATGGTCAGTGAAGGTAAGTAGTTTCACCATAGAATGAGAAACAGCCTTTAAAAAATAAATAAATTATATATATATATACACACACACATACATATATATATACATATGTGTATTTGTTGTTGTTGAAAATATACACGGTAAAACATGGCCAACAATTTGTTTGTACATTTCTGTAACATTGACTACATTCTTCAGGCTGTGCAGGTTCTCCTTTTTTGAATGGACATAAAACTGGCACTGGGCTACCTGATTTTCTCCTCCAGTTAAGTAGCTCCACCGTGCAGAAGTACTGTTTTTAATTCTAAAACAGCACTAGGGATTGCGATCCGAAATAGCAGCGGTGCCGAGGGCCGCTTTCTTGGTCGCAGCTGCAGTGAGCGCACTTCTAACGCGCTCTTCTTGCTCCTGGTCTCTCTCCCTCTGCCCAG